CTAGAACAGAGCCTACTGGTGGCAGCCAGCATTGCCTGTGCCGTCGTTGCTCATTATGGCATGAGGTCCTGCCTGTGCCCTACTGGCTCAGGAGCTAACCTGAAGCTGTGCCTGTGAGGTGGGCCTGCCCTGCCATCCCTGGGGCTTCAAAAGATGAGGAAGAACTTCCCGGTCAAACCTCATTCCTAGAGGTCAACTGTGTGGACAGCAAAGGAAAGGGACCCTGAGCTTATGTTTTTATTTTATTTTTATTTTTCTTGAGACAGGGTTTTTCCGTGTAGCTCTGGCTGCCCTGGAGCTCCCTTTGTAGACAAGGCTAGCCTTGGACTTATAGAGATCCACCTACCTTTGCCTCGCTGGGATTAAAGGTGTGTATCATGACTGCCTGATTTGAACTTATGGTTTTAAATCTAGCTTCTATTCCATAACCGTTACCCCAAAGCAAAATTATTTAGACTATTAAAGTAGATGAGTTTCTTTTTTTCTCTCGAATTATTCATAGGGAATACTAACATAACAATTCATTGAATATAAGAGAGACAAGCTATGTGTGTGTGTGTGTGTGTGTGTGTGTGTGTGTGTGTGTGTGCAGGAGTTGATATGTGTGGCCACATGCGTGGGTGTGGGTACTTGTGGAGGTCAGAGGACAGCATCAAGTGTCTTCCTTAATTGCTTTTATTTTTATTCTTTGACACAAGGTCTTTCTCTGACCCTAGTGTTTACCGATTTGGCTAGACTGGCCAGCAAGACAGAATTATCCTGCCTTGGTCTCCCCAGCAATGCGATCATGGGTACATGCCTTGAGCTCTGGCTTTTCACACAAACTAAGGATTGACTCAGGCTGTGTTGGTGTGCCTCAGGCACTTTGCCAGTGGAGCTGTTTCTCTAGTCCCACTTTTTTTTTTAAAGAAAAAAATAATTTGTAGGGTTTTAATATATAAATTTCACTAAAATACCTACTATTAGTTCACAAGGCATAGGTTTCTCTATAAAGTCTTTGTTATAAAAACTACACAAAGATCATATGATCATATTATTGTATAATCTAAAAAAATTGTTTGTCATTTACCAGTCATTATTTCTTCTTTCTCTTCATCCTCCTCCTGTTCTTCTTCCTCTTTGTTCTTTTCCTATCATTTTACCTTAGCCTTCCTGTAATCCATTTCTTTTGTTTTTCCTTTCTTCCTATTTTATTTTATTTTATTTTTTTGTGCTGAGGACAGAACCCAGGGGCTTGAGCGTGCTAGCTCATCATCATCAGCTGAGCTGCAGCCCCAACACTGTTTTCTGAGACAGGGTCTTAAAATGGGAGCTCAGTTTGGCTTTAAACTCTAGACCCTTCTGTCTCCATCTCCTAAATGCCTGGAGTACAGGAGTGCACCACCATGCTTGGCACCTCACAGCCATTTCTTACTGAAATAATTTTAACTCTAAGAGATTTGTGTGAAAACTAGCATTGTTCCTACTTTCACAGATAAAGTGAAATAAACCCCCTAGGGTTGAACTTACTGGCTCTAACCAATACCAGAGAAAACTCAATTTTCTAAAAAAGGAAGAATATTCCCTATAGTTTTTACCTTATCTTCAGGAAAGAGAAAAAAAATTGACAGTACCTTTTTCTTTTCTGTAAAGACAAAATATATCCAATGTACATTTATTTAGTATTCAACAGTTTCTGAAAATACATTTTTTTTAAGACAGGGTTTCATGTAGTCCATACAAGCTTTGAACTTGGTATGTAGCTGAGGATGGTTTTGGACTTCTGATGCTTCCACTTCTAACTCCCGAGCGCTAGGGTTACAAATGTGCGTTAGCACACCTGGTTTTTGCGCTCTTAGCTGCTGAGCCATCTCTCCAGCTCACAGCTGTCTGTAACTGCAGTCTCAGGAGATCCACAGCTCTCTGCTGGCCTCCAGGGGCACTGGGCAAACACATGGTGCACAGGCACACATTCAGGCAAACACCCATTTACATAAAGTAAAAATAAATAAAATCTAAAAAAAAAAAGACAGCAGTTTCATACATTTCAGTGATTTTTATGTTACCCTGTTAACAATGGTAGCCTTCTGTCACTCAGTTTCCCCATCTGTGCACACTTGAATCTTGCTGTTTCTGCCACACTCGGTACTCCAGGTCTCTGAGATTCTGGGCGGTTCTGTCTCCGCCTCCCATCTCATCATGGGAGTGCTGGGATTACAGACACACACTGTGGTACCTTGGCTTTTTAAATGTGTGTTCTTAGGATCAGGCTTTTGCAGCAAGTGCTTTTACCCACCGAGCCATCTTGCTGGCCCCATAGTTAACTTGTGTGCATGGAATAACTTCAGAGGGGAGCCTGTACTTTGATCCCCATTTATAGGCACCATATAGTAAAACAATGTACCTATAGATGGAAAGTAACTTTTGCCTCCAATATTTGAAACAATATAGCAACAAAAAGATCGGGGAAGTGCTGGAATGTTCCAGAAAGGTTCTCTTCCAACCTGGGAGCGCATCCAAGAGGGAATTAAAAGAGTACATGTAAAATGCCACTTTTAATTTTTCTCTCAAAATATTTTGCATCTAGAATGTTTGCCGGTCACTGCTCCAGGCATACATAATGGTTTACTGGCAGAACAAAGTGCTGGCCTCACAGTGGTTCTGTTCCTTCCAGGGCTGGCGAGGACAAGTGCTTAACTCGTCCTAAGAGGCTGGGTGGTTTCCCTGGGTAGGTGAGAGGTTATACCTTTTGTCAAAAATCAGATTTCATGAACTAGGCACTCTCTCTGCAAACAGAGAAACTGGAAGCATAGGTAGAGCAGAAAAAGTCTTTTCTTTTCAAGGTTCCATGGGAGAGAAAAATCTTTATTGCCAGTGGCCCTAAAGGCAAGCTTAAATTGGACAATGTGAAGCAAGTTAGGAGGAATAAGCGGGTTGTGCGGGATGGAAACGTGGCACTCTATATTTTAATCTGGAAAGTACTGAGAGTAGGTCTGAGAGAGACCCAGTAATCCTTAGCTGGAGTGCATGCCAGGACCCATCCTGTGGTTGTGGAGGTAGATCTCTTTCTCTCTCTCTCTGCATATGTGTGCACTCAAAGGGCATGTTTGTTTAATCAAAGGGAATGTATGTTTAAAACCAATAGTTAGGGTTTCCCCAAACGTAACAAGGTAGGATTCCTGGATTTTAAATTTCTAACAGAGTCTGGTACCAGCTTTATTGTGTTGGCAAGTGTAAGCTTTAGGGTCCCGTCAGTAGAGGCTGGGAGAGTAATTTAACATTTTCTCCCTCAGTTTCCCTGCCTCTGGACTGTGGATGGCAAGAATAGTTCCTGCCTTACAGAATGGCTTTATGTGAGTTAATATATGACAGGCAGTTAGCATGATCATAGACACACTGTGCCTTCCGTTCTATGTGAAAATGTTTGGGAACATTTTACATTATGTACGTAGAAGCAAAAACAAATAAACCTACATTTCATACAAATTATAGCTCATATATATTATGTACATGTATATATACATATAAAATATATAATTTCTTTTTAAGAACTCTTTTGAACTTAAAAATACGTAGATTTTTTTTTCATATAAATAAAGAACTTTTCATTTCTACAAAGTTGCATAATATCCCACCGACTGGATGCACCATAACTCAGCTGCTCTTTTTCTCTTGATGGATATTTATTTAGGCTGCTTGAGATCTCGTCTAAATCGTGTGATGTGTTGAAGTCTCAAATACTGGGTGAAACCCTGCACGTGAAACATTTCTGTAACACGAGCCACAGGGCAGAAGAGCAGGAGGAAGTTTCTCAGATCCTCTCTTGGTCCCTTTCTTGTTTCTGATATTAAGCTATAGCCGGCTGGTGGGCCCTATGGAATTTGTGCTTTGTAAGCTCTACTGAATCCCATTGTTATCTGCTTCTACCGTGCTGGAGCGGTACTAGAAAACAGCCAGTAAGGAGTAGCTTGTAGACAGGATCCAGAATGGAGCCCCCTCCCAGCGGAGTGTCAATTTGCCAGTAGAGGGCGCTCTCCTTTTGGGAAAAATAATGTCTCTGGGAAGTAAATTCTAACTTAAGGCCTAGGCGTGGGCTGCGGTGTTGCTGGTCTCTGTAGGTTACAGGTGTGCCGTTCCCGGCGATCCAGGGTTAGTGTCCGACTGCTGGGTGTGCTGATGCGCACGGAGCGGTGGGGAGGACGCGCCTGGCGGACTCCTAACGCTTCAGGGGCCAGGCCCGCCGTTTGCTCCGGAAGGTTCTGGCCTTCCCCTGTGTTGCAGTACTAGAAGTCCTGGCGTATTCCAGGTGTGGTCGGAGTATGTTCCCTGGGGTGTGCTTATAAAGCACGTTAAAAGCGAATCTGACCCCGCTGGTGAACTCCAGTTCACGCAAGCGTGTGAGCGCTCTCCCGGACCCTTGAAAATCCTTACAGCCGCGTCAGAGAGGAACTGCTCAGCAGTGTCGGGCGAGGTTGAGCCATTGCTTCACCGTCTGTGGTGTTCTTCCTACCCTCTCCTTTCAGTCCACCCAGGCTCGAGGAGTCACTCAGCGGTGTCTGCCCCCACCCCCCAAGCTTGTAAGTCCCCGAGCTGAAAGTGCATGGCAGGCTGTATGACCAGACTACAGGCCGCTTCACCCTACAACCGTGGTTCTCGGCCCCTTTGGCAAACTCCTATCTCCAAAAATATTCATCCGAATTACAGTAACGAAGTGGCAGGGAAAAGAATTTTATGACTGGGGGTCTCCCCGACGTGAGGAACTGAAGTAAAGGGTCGCAGCATTAGGAAGTGCCAACCACTGCCCTAAAGCGACTCCCTCCCGGCAGGTCCCAACTACTTGTCCTTGGTCTGAGAAGGCCAAGGTCACTGACCTGACCCCAGGGAGGAAGTTTCCCTTCTGTTTCCCAGGACAGCGTTCTCCACATAGAGGGCTGTTCACCAGTTTCAATTTCCCCCTGTTTAGGGCGTTCCCGGGCTGGTATCAACACCGGAAGGCCCAGGCAAACATGTCTGCTTCCTCGTTCTGAGCGGTGAGGCTTTGGCGCAGGAACCTGAAGCCGGCCTCGTGCTGGCCGGAGAGCACGCAGGGAGCTGGCTAGCGTTCCTCAGGCCAAAGCCGGCTTTTCTGTCTTATTTCGGATTGAGAGAGAAGGCACACAGAAGGAAGAGAAAAGGTGAGGTCTCCGTTCAGATACTAGGCCACCGAACCCTACGGGACCCTTAGACAGGCAGGGCACAGGCTAATGGGACTGGTTAGGAATAACGAAGTTAGGTAACCTTTCTGTTCTTTTAAAAGCTCATCACACTGCTTTCAGACTCACCAGGCGACCTTCCAAGATTTGCGTTTGAGAAACCTTTTTTTTTTTTTTTTTTGCACAGATTACCTCATTCCTATTCCTAAAGTTGCACACCTGCCAAGCATTCGCCAGTAACATTTGTTTGTCCAAATCTCCCCAAGGGTTGCAATAGAACGACATGCAAGTCTCTGCTCTAACTGAAAAGGAGCGGTTCACCGGACCGATGTTAAAAAGGGGCTTCCGGCTGACCCATCCCCCAAACGTCAAGAATCTACGTTTCTGGCTGACTTCAGGGAAGCTGCTGTGTTACCAGGACCATCCAGAGGGCTGGCTGAGCTGGAGTGCGGAGCCACCCCGGAGCGCCTTCCCCTGTAGGTCTGGGGTGGGGGTGGGGTTTCCTGCAGTGTTTAACAAGTGGCCCAGGGCTAATGATGTTTCTGGTATGGGAACTTTAAAGATTACAGGTTTAGATATTGTAAGGTCGAGAAGCCCGAGCAAACAGAAATACGGATTCCTCTTCCCCAGCTGGCTGGAGGAAGTAGTTATTCAGAGGCTCTGAGGCAGAGGGAGCTCAGTTCAGCTTCTTCCTCTAACGCTGTGTGATCTGGTGAAGTTGGCTTACCTTCCGGGGCCTCCATTTTCTTGTCTGAAAACAGAGATCATAGCTTCTAGTTCACAGGGCCTGAGTATGTAGTTGCATAATTGCCTTAGCCTCCATTTGCACATCTGTGTGTATGTGCATTGGATATGTAATTGACATAGGATATCTGTCACGAGGTGCTGAGGACGTAGCTCATTTGGTAGAGAGTTACCCTCTGGACCCTGTAATCCCTACTCCTGTCCCTAGCACCACATAAGTGTGGGTACTGGGGCTGCATGCTGGTAATCCTAGCACTCCGGAAGTAGAGGAAGGAGGACCAAAAATTTAAGGCCGCCCTTAGCAACATATTCTATCTGATGCCAGCCTGGGCTACATGAGACCCTGACTCAAAACTGAAACAACAACAAAACCGAAAAACCAAAACCCAACCAAGCAAACAAAAAACTATAATGAACAGCTACTGTTTAAAGCATTTTTGTACGTCTTTGAAGTAATTTATTATGTTTACTAGAAGTAGACCAAAATAATTAAATATAAAACCAAAAGAAATAAATATATAGGGATTTTAAATAAGCGCGAAGTGGTAGTGCTTTATTAAATTAAAAAAAATTTCTGAAAAAAATTTCTGAAATGAAATACAGCTTCTGCATTATCAGCCTTTGTTACTCCTGAGGTTAAGGGAAGTTTGAAGCCTCTGCACACAACAGGTTTGAGGAGGGAAAAACAGAACAAAGATTGCATAGAGTCATGGTTGGCAGCTTTTAAAGCCATGAAACTCAAAACTTTCCCAGCTGTAGAAGCAGGCAAAGCTGCTTTGAGTTTTCACATTTGTTCTTGAGATCCCGCCTCTTGCAAAATTGACTCTCTCCTTGTTCTGCCTTTGGCTAAGGCTTCGTGTCTCTAGAATGCAAATTGCATTTTCTAGGAGTGATGGCACATTAATCTGATAATACTCACCGACTCTTTCAGATTAGATTATGTGAGATTAACTAGGTGTTGCCTTGGAAAAAAAAAACCGGTGCCCTGAGGGAACAGGACCCAGCTGACTGAGCAACTGTCTGGGATATGAGGCTTTGTGGGGACATGGGCTGCCAAGGGCACTAGGGGCAGGAGAGAACTGCCGGAGAGGGAGCCAGCTGTCCCTTCTGGGAGAATTCCACTTTCCAGGACACCCTTAGATTGCACTTGGTTTATACTAGGGCTGAGTTCTGAAAACTGTCTTGTGCACTGAAATGGAGGTGGGTGGCTTTGGCTTTGGAGGTTTGGAAGCCTCAGTTGTACCAGGTCCTCTCCAGGCTTCTGCACACACCGTACACAAGGCTGGGAGAAGACGTAAGGCTGAGTTCTAGCAGATAGAGCTAGAGAGTGAAGCCTTGCTTTGGGCTACGCAGGTAGCAATAGCCCAGGAAGTTCCTCTTCTCTGTTTCTACTGATGACTAAGTCACCTGAAGCAAACCTTATGTTAGCCTTATCCTAATGTCACAGGAAACCCAGAGACAACTGAAAGATAAGGCTCACTGGAGAGCAAGTGTTGACTGTGTTTCATTTAAATAGTCTATGCTGACTGGGAATATTTAAACCAATTTCACTCGATGTTTTTAGTGACATTTTCCTGGCTAACCTGTCAGATTGATTAGTATACGAGACCTGCTATCTACCTTAACATTCGTTCATATTCTCTGTTAGTTGGGAGGTCCTGGGCAGCAGTCTGGAGCCCTTTTCAAGCTCTTGGGTTTTGCTGCAGGCTGGTTATAACCTGATAGGGTCCCTGGCTCTTCTGCTAGCTCCTGGCAGCCAAGTGGCCTTTCCCTTTGAAAGTAAAGTAAACTAATGTCCACTTGCAATAGCCTGCGACAGCACAGCGCTGCCAGATGGGTTGGTTGATGGGACAAAGCACAAAGACAGAACCAAGCTGCAGTTCGATTGGTCCATTCTGCCCTGTCCTCATTTGGCAAATAGAGTATGTGAATGAAGGGTGGGCAATCTCTGTGGCCAGGGCCCTCACCACACATGAAGTCTGTGGAGGTTGAGCTGGAGAAAGGATGAGGACATGCTGGGATTGTTCTCAAGGCCAAGTGCTATAATTCTGTGTCTTTACCAACTTTGTATTTATAGAAAATATGGACTTTCGGAGCAATAATAAGAGGATTAGATAAACTGAAGGTATTTGAAGAAGTTATTTAGTAGCTCTTGATTTTTTTTAAAGATTTATTTATTTTATGTATATGAATACTCTCTTTTCATGCACCCTAGAAGAGGGAATCAGATCCCATTACAGATGGTTGTGAGTCACTATGTGGTTGCTGGGAATTGAACTCAGAACCTCTAGAAGAACAGCCAGTGCTCTTAACTGCTGAGCCATCTCTCCAGCTCAGTAGCTCTTGATATTATATTGATAATGTATGATATAATGTTATATGATATTGTATTTATTTGGTCACTTAAACTTTGTAACTTTAAAGTATACAACACAAATGTGTACAGTCAAGTAAAGGAACATATCAGTCACATAATTACCTTTTTTGTGGCAGAAGTATCTAAATTAAAATGTTGTATTAGCAGATGTCAAATATTATAACTACAGGCCCATGCTGTTCTCCAGGCTTCTCCATACCACAAAGTACAACTTGCTGTCTTTGTCCTATGTTTTCCCATTTTTTTATGCCTCTCTTAAGCATGGTTCTCCTCTCTGCTTCCATGTATTTGATTTGTTCTGTTTGTCTTCTCTCTTCTTTCTTCTCTTTCCTTCCTTCAAGTATACACAAGATTGGGTAGCATCTTCCTTTCTGTGTCTGGCTTATTTCATTTAATGTCATGTTTGCTAAGGTCATCTATATTGCAAATGGTGAAACCTTACGCACTGTTTAAGGAGTCCTGTGAATACTTCTTAGAAATAACTTCCCCAGGCCTGTCAACAAAGTTTTCTTGTTAACTCTGGAACTGTGGGGTTATAGTTGGTATTTAGTACTATCAGGAAGCTGACAGTGTTCTGGCTGACTTTTAGTTTTTTGGGTCATTTCCAGGCATATAAGCTGAACTTTCATAGGCACATTTGCAAATCATTCTACAGATGATGTTAAAACTCACGCTCAGTCTTGGAGAGAGCCTATGTTGGTTTTTGGAATTACTGTAGAAATGATTATTCAGGGTTCTGTTGGATAAATCTTTTGGAGCAGTGGTTCTCAACATGTGGGTAGTAACCCCTTTTGGGGGGGGTCAAACAACCCTTTCACAGGGTTTGCATATCGGATACTCTGCATATCAGATTCACGACAGTAGCAAAATTATAGTTATGAAGTAGCAATGAAAATAATTTTTATGACTGGGATAACCACAACATAAGAAACTGTGTTAAGGGGTTGCAGCGTTAGGAAGGAAGGTTGAAAACCACTGTTTTAGAGAAACCCAGGCAATTTGTGTATTTGCAGCGCCTTCCTCGCCCAGAAGGGTGTCAAAGCATGTTACCATTCTTGTTGATTCTCTCTCCAGGAGGAGTCTTTCTCATGTGAAGGAGAAAGGTTTATTTTCTTTTCCTCAGAAGAACAAACATATCCTATAAATTGTGCTGAAGAGAAAGGTCACTGGATTTGTTTTCTGTGAACTTGAAATTCTTGCTGATGGGATAGGTAGAATTCATGAAATGCAAGGAAAGTTTTTAATGTTTTAATTTTTTTAATGCAAAAGAGGGGCTCATTCCAAACTCAAATGCTATTCTGTCTTATCTTCCTGACCTTGTGAGACCTCTCTCTTTTTCCCTTATTCTAAATCCTTCATCCTCATAAAATCACCCTGACTGACTAGACAGAAGCCCAGAGAAGTGCCTTGTCCAAGGTGCTCTAGGAGAAAGTGGTGGGCAGACATTCCCTTCATTACCTCAAGCCTCCCCACCTAATCCTTTCTCCGTGACTCTTCTCTCTCCATGCCCTGGCTGTCCAAGCATGGATCTGTTTCCTCCTGCAAACTTCTTGTCAGTTGCCATGATCCCCCAGACGTTTGCATCTTCAGAGGATGCACCGGTCCCCTGCATCTACAGGAAAAAGAACTTCTCCTTAACTCAGTTTTCCTGTTTGTGAACGGGAGGCAGCTGACAGGCACTGTCTCCATTGTTGTGTCATGTTGTTTGCCGACACTTCTTCAGGAGGAGTCAGGAGCCCAGCGCCGGAACTCTTAAAGATCCAGTGAGTCTCTGGATAGGCCGGGCACAGAGAACCCTAGGCTGCTTACACACAAACTCTTAGGGTATTTGCCCCTAATCTGTGGCATGCCTCTCCAGTCAGAGCGCCCAGGCTTCTGTTGCCCTCTCTATTGCCTTGTCCTTGATTCTCATTTCCACCACACAGTAGGTGTGAGATTTTGTCTGTGCATCTGTTTTCTCAGATGTAAAAATGGGTTGATTTACAAAACCCATTGTAAAAAGATGGGTTGATGATAAATGACAGATTAGTTGTGAAGATTCAGTCAGTTAATATTTTATAGTAAACTACCAGATAAATAGTAAATCCTTTATCTAGGTTAGTTTCCATTGTTCTTTTTAAATTTAGAAAAGATTTGCTTATTGCATGTATGGAACTATTTTGCCTTCATGTCTATGCACCACACAGGTACCTGGTACCTGTGGAGGCCAGAGAGGGAATCATATCCCTTGGAACTAGAGTTACAGACAGTTGTTGTGAGATGTTAGGCTGGTGTTAGGACCCTAACTTGGGCCCTGTAGAAGAGCAGCCAGTGCTTCTAACTGTTGAGCCATCTCTCCAGCTAGCTTCTAAACTT